GCAAACACTCGTCAAACACTCGTCAAGACACCAAGTATACGTCAAAATCAAAGTTTCCAACATTAGAAAACCATAACACCAAACTCACCCCACGCCTCCCCTCCCCTCCCCTTCATCTAAAACATAAGTGATCTAAGCATACATCAATCAAAATCTCGAAAATAAATCAGAACCACAACACCAAACTCAAGCATAAATCTAATATCAAAACATGGTCATGCAATCATCTCAATCATATGTCAAAATAAAAATATCAAACTAAAGTAACAATCAACCCCCCTCCGTCATAAGTTAACCTCAACAATACGTCAAAATTAAAATCTCAAACATGAGCTAAAGTTGCAAACCAACCTCTAAACTAAAGTCACAATCCAATATACACCCTACCATCACAAACATAAGTCGTAATCTAAGTATACGTCAAAATTAAAAATTTCCAACATCAGTCCGAACCATAATATCAAGCTCGAGGCTAAGTCATAATCCCCAGCCCCCACCCCACCCCCACATCTCCTCTCCCCTCCCCATCATCTTAAACATAAGCCATAATATAAGCATACATCAAAATCAAAATATCATAAGTCAAAACCACAACACCAATCTCAAGACTAAAGTCACAATCCACCATCTCAAACATAAACATTATATACTTGAGTGATGAACTCCCTCCTCCAATAAATCTCTCTGGAATGTCATTGATTTGACTAAATCTTCTTTCAAATATCTGGTGCTGACATTCCAACAATTCTTGTATTTCTTTTCGCTGTTCTTCACGTTGACTCTCTAATAAAGTGTAGACCTCCAATAGTAAACACATATGTGAGGAAGGGCAAAGGGGTAAATTCCCCCTAGTATGGGTTAGTTAATTAACTATGGTTTGTTTTATAATTAGTCTGTTCCCTTAAATAGTTTTGGGATGGAATTATCTTGTGATGCCTGTTTTGTTGTAAGTGGTGGATTAGAGTGCTGGAGAGTCTTCAACCCTCTCGAACTGGTTGTTGTAGTGTAAGCCTTAGGGCTGTTTCTGTATTTTGACCATCAGTTAGTAAGGGAAACCTTACATAAAGCTTCTACCTTTGCAAGACGTGCCTCTAGGGTTTGAAGATACTTTTGTGAGCAAGGTGCTGATTCTTGACTTTGTTGTGGTTTTGGTCCATATCTCATTTTTTTCGTGTACGAGGATCTTTTTTCAAGGACCATACCCATAACTTTATCAGTTTTTGAAGTGCCTTCATCTTCTTCTACTTGTTTTAAGATTAACATATTTTCCTACACAAAACAATTATATGATTTAGTTAGATTAATATATCTATTGGAACATTAAATGAATACTTACATTTGCTGTCTTTGTTGCTTCGCCAATCCAACCCTCTGGAGCAATACAATGTGTTTCACTTGATTCAATCTAAATTGGGTGGTCAGCTTCGCCTATCCAATCATCTGGAGTAGTACAATATGTTTCACTTGATTCAACCTTAATTGAGTGGTCAACTTTGTCTATCCAACCCTCTAGATCAGTACAATGTGTTTCACTTGATTCGACCTTAATTGAGTGCTTTTGACCACAATATTCAGTGTCTCATTCGCTTATCAAATTATTTCGCATTTTACGCATCTTATCTCCATTCTCTAAATTTTGGTGGTATTTGGAGTTTTCAGATAAGGAGAACCATCTCGAGTTTTTCCATGAAATACCCATCTATTATAAAATAGAGACATTCCATGTACCTATAAATGACCTTCAACATCACAGGGTCGTTTCTTTACTAAATTTTGACATTTCTTGCATGGACAACGTGTAAACCCTTTCTCATCAAGATGTTTTTTTTGACAATTGAACGAACCATCTAATTCCATCGGTATATTCTTTGCTTTAACCTATCCGGGTTTTTTATCCAACTTTTATCTATATGCATCCTATAAAAAGATATATAATACAATTCATCATTAACATAAAAAGCATAGTAACGAACTTAAACATAAAAAAGCATAAACACCTCATCTTTTATCTCAACTAGCAACTAATCTGAAGGCAATTAAATGAAAACCAAACACAACTAAAATTTGAAAGCACAAACACTCAATCTTTTATCTTAACAAGCAACCAACATTGCAAATGGTAAATTATTTAATAGGCTTAACAAATACCGTTACCCACAAAAAGGAAGACTAAAGAGGAAGAAGATTACCTCGGCGGACGAATTCCTTCTAACCTATGGCGAAAAATGGTGAAGAACAGCGGCGGAAGGCGATAACAGTGGCGAAGAGGAAGAAAGAAGGGCATATTTATGCAAGCTTTTTGGGGGCGAAAATATTTTGCGTCGCAATGCCCAAAATGCTCTCATTTTGTTCTTCAATGGACGCGACGCAGAAAGATTTGTGTCGCTATGCTGAAACGCTGTCGTTTTCTATATTGCCGTTCTTCCTGGTTCCTCCTTCCCGCCTTTTTTTAATTTTAAAAATATTTTCTAATTTAAAGTTAATATAGTAAATATTTTAATTTTAAATTTCATTTGGGTCTTCCTTCTATTTTAGTCTCCTTATAATGTATATTATAATCTTTGAAACTCTAAGAAAATAGTCATTTTGGTATTTATTTTTATTTTACTTTTTATTAATAAACAATCTAACTTCAAATATGTATATTAACGTGGTAACATAAATATGTATTCAACTACATAGATTGATTTGATGTAAGTGTTAGGTGGACGGAGGTTTAAATTTGATCTTTATGCTTTAGTTTTTCAATAAGGTCCCAGTAGTTTTGAAATTTTTTAATTTGGCCTAACTTCATGAATCATTTATGTGACCATTATCATAGTGAATACAAGTCTCTATTTACTTATTAATGAGCTTGTGTTTTACAATTTGGCAAATTGTGAAAGTAGCTCCTTATATTAGGAGATTAGATCTAAATAAGAATTAAGAGGAAAATGAGTAGATTTTTCCCTTTGATAAAAAACAATTTAGAGACCATTTGTAAAATTTAAACCAACTTAATCAAGTTGAAGACCAAATTTCGAAACTTAGTCTAAACCATAATAACTATTTGAAATGAGAAAAGTTTCGATTTACTCCAATCATCTTCGAGTTGGAGAATGGCTTAATGGGAAGGATTGGGCACACACCCAACATATGGAACCTTCAATTAAGTGAAATTTGCTTCAAATTTCAGATTGTTAGACATTACTTGATGTTTGTAGTTTTCCTTTGATTCTGATAATATAATCTCTCAGGGATAAGTTTTTTACCCACGAATTAGACAAATTGTACTTTTTTTAGTATCTTTAATAATATTTTGAAATTGGTTCGATGATGAGGATGTTAAGATGTCTCTAAATAAAAAATAACTACGTTTGGTTGTGTATGAGAATGTTATCATAATTTCACTAATTGTTAGTTAATTTAGAGTATTAAGATTAATCAAAATTAATTTCCAACCATTAATTTATATGAATTAATTTTAAATATCTTTTTTTAGTACTGGGGTTTGAATAGAAAGGAAATGAGTAGGTGTTAATTAATGTTCATGTTAGTAAGTTAACTTTAAATAATTAATTGTTGTTAGTTAATTTATTTTTATTAAGAAATTTCAAAAGAAATGTATTTAATAAAATTATATGAACTTCTAATTGTAATCCATGAGTACAATAATTAACCTGAAGAGTGACGGATAAATGTTACATTTCATAATTGTAATTAAAATTTTGGAAATAAAAAATTATTGATGTTGGTTATGCATAGAAATGCTATCGGACTTTTATGGGAATAAATAATATTTATGTATATTTACGAAATTAATCTCAAAATATTTTATAATTATTGATATATCAATGAATGAGTTAATCAAAATTGATCTATATATATTAATTATAAGTAAAATATAATTATGGAAAAATAATTGTTTATAGCAAATTTAATTTAACTAATTTAAACTAATTAATTAAATATATTTAAAATATTGTTAATTAATTAATTAACCATTTCAGAAAATAAGTAATGACGTTCCTATAGTAAATTTTTATCAGCAAAAATTAATTAATACATATTAATTCATTCTAACTAAATAATTGTTTAATAATAATAATTTGTTAATTTATTTTAATTAAATAATTATTTATTTGTAATTATATGTACATTCAAATAATGAGAGCAAATAATTTTGTTTTAACTTTTTTTTTAATACAACAATACTGAGCTAAGTTCAGATTTACAGGTAATTTTGTTTTAACTGGAAATCCATTTACTAAAATTATCTATTAAGTGATTTGTAGGGAGATCATGTTGGACCAAAATAAACAAATTGTGTTTTTAAATTAAAATGATATAAATTGTTGAGAAGGAATGAGAGGGAATGCTTGATTGTCAACAATCAAGCATAGTCTACTCTCCAAACTAACTACCGCATGAATTTTCAGTCAGAGGACTAAAGTGTCAATTTTAAATAATGTTAATGTTAATTTGTTCTGCATTACCATTTAGAACTATTTTTTAAGGTAAGAGGACTAAAGTGTCAATTTTAAATAAGAATGTATCTCCACTCTTGGAAAAAAAGGCGGCTTGACCCTAATATTTGGTGTCGAAAAATGCATAAGAATTACTAATTCTTAAAGTAGGTGACTATGATGGGATCTATTAATTCCTATCCTAACCTTTAGTAACTAATTATACTTGACCACAAATTGTTTCGTTTTTCACTCTTTAGAAACACTTCTAAATTAAACCCATAACCAAAAATTAAAATTTAGCCCTAATTCGAAAGATTAGAAAAACAAAACAAAATTTTGTAAATTTTTTAAAAATGAGATAAATTAATTAAAACATTATCAAGAGAGAAGTATGGAAAGTTGATAACAAAAAGCAGAAGAAATTGTTTCAAAGAACCACCTACCTCAATCAAATATGGAAAAGGTGCATATGAGAATTCAACCTATAAAAAACACGAGCTACTAAACTTGATGTCCTATAGCCAAAATCCAACAAAAAATACAAAACCAAAATAATTAAAAAGAACTTGTAATCTAGTTAATGGCATCACCTTATTAAACACAAAACAAAAGACTTCAAAAAAAAAAAAAAAACATAAGTTACAAAATTCGATTGAACAAAGAAACTACATGTGTATCCATCTCCCTTTTTCAGATCTATTGCCGAGACTGTGGAGGTTAGGGCTGCCAAATAACATAAACAAATCTAACCAAAAAAAAAAGGAAAAAAAATAGTCGAAAACGAAATCAAAAGGTGCTAAAAATGGCTATTGAGCCTTTTTGAGCAGCAGTATTAACTTAGAAACTTACCACTACCACTACCACTGTATCCCACAAGGAACACAAAAAAAGGATGGATGTAAAAGGACTCACTGACTAGTTGCTGGTTTCGGTTTCGGAACCAGGGTTGGGTTGGCTTGACAACATTGTCGACTGCTGCCTGGGAGGGGGGGGACGGGGTCGAGATTCGAAATGTTGGCCGACAATGAAGGGAAGCTCACTCAGAAAGAGTGTTGTGGAATGAAAGAGGTGAGTTTCTCCCAATCCAGGGACTCCATGTTTGGGGACATGACTGCAGCGCCAACACCTAGAGCAATGACTAGAAGGGCCATGCTTTTCAGACATCCATGGCCTCGCGAAACCCTGCTCAGTATTGCCTTGACATACTTATCTGCCTCCTTATATTTAGATTGGCGAGCGGCCTCTTCTTCTTCACTATTCAATGCCTTCTCGTTCTATCCGCGACGAATATCATATGCAAAAAAAGGGTTAACTATTAGTTCAGTTCTTCCAAGTATGTGCTGGTTTTGCACAAGAGAATAGTAACAACAACTACCTTGATTCTGAAACTTTTTAGAGTTTCCCTTAGAGCATCATAAGGAGCTAGTTTTAAAGACTGCGTTTTCCAGTCGTCGGAGAGTTGTTTCAAAACAGAGACACTAGATTCCAGGTTATCCTGGTAAATCTTGTCCTGCAGAAAGCTTTCCACATTAGATTGAGAATGTAACAGGAAATATTAAGTTAAATGTATAAAACAGAGCCATGGTAGAAAGAACTAGAACTAGAATAGCTCACCCACTGCTTGTAGCAATCAACATTTTGAGTCAAACACCAAACGAAAATATTTGTTGCTTCTCCGGATAGCTCTGGAACTCCTGTTAATGAATCTTCTATCAGTTACCGTTTCATGAACGACGACACAACGGTTTTCTTGATATGCAAAAGCTTAAAAGATTAAAAACAAGTATCATACTCTCTCCCGCTGCTTTGGCAACAAAACTGAATATCTGCTGTGAAACTTGTTTCATTGCTTTACTGCCAGGAGAGCCAGCAAGCGCAACCTCCTTCAATGTTGGATAGATAGCTTCAAACCTTTCAGTAGCCTGAAAGAAAATAGTACAGTGTAAAAAATACATACCATATTGCGTTATGTCAAAGTAACAACTAACAACAGTACTCTTACCTTCACTCTAGCTGAAGATGCAGGGAAAGTAACCCGTAGAAGTGTTTCAAGTGAAGAGGGTGGGATCAAACGCTCCCCCTTTCTGACTGCACCATTTACTAAAATAATACGAGCTTTTGGAGAAGACAAAATTCTGCAGAAAACAATCTCTCACTGTCAGAAAAGAAAAACTGAAGGGGAAGGGAAGGGAAGGGAAGGGAAGGGAAGGGAAGGATGAGATATTAGATCTATTGGGAGAACATCCATGTATTCTCACCTCTCCACTAGCTGCAAAATTAGATCTCTAGACTGAGGATTACAACTTCTACCACTAACTATGGGCAAGAGATTATGTGCCCATGCAAAAAGCCCTATTGCGAGATCTCCTTGACAGGCCTGGAAAAACCCATATAAGATTCGCAAAAATAGAAATCAAAACTTAAATAAATTATTGACCATCATTATTATCGATTTACCTGAACAATCATCCATACAATTACTGGAAGCTTATCTTGTCCCTGATACTTTGAGTTTTCCCTTATCGTTGGCAATACGTGAATTAAGACATCAGGTTTTCTTCGTAATACCATTGCAAGGACTACAAATATGGCAACCTGCTATGCAATACTGTGTTAAGTCGTGAATCATGCAGAAAAATATTTAACCATACCCTCCCCCCACTCCCACACACAAAAAAAAATGAGAAGTAATAATTACATGTGCACCTGTTCAACTGATTGCTATAAATAACTAGAAAACCATTGATATGCAAAGTTTATGAAGGTCAAACATTTTCCAGAAGAACAAACGTGTAAGAGCAAGTAATATATAATGAGTGAAATAAAATGAAAGACACAAAAGGGAGAACACAGACTAGAACGAGTAAAAAGAAATTTGAGATGGATAAAAGAGATGCATATCATGATCCATCTCTTCAATCCAATCAAAAAGCAAGTAGGTCGTTTGGTTATGGATATAGTTATCCTAGTTGAATTTTCTTATCAAGATTTATAGTATGAGTCTATGTACAAGTTCTTTTATTACAGAACTTCCAATTTTACTAAAATGATGGTAGCAGTAGATTTCCTAGGATTTTCAGTCTCTTCTAGAGCAGCTCTTGCAGTTTATTTTAGCTTTAAAAAATCATCAGAAAGCAAACAAGGTTAAGAACACAAAATTGTCTTAAAATTCTATCATGATCACAATAAGGTACCTGAGATTTTGAAGATGCATGTTGGACACCTTTTTTAGAGCCTTTGGCACTAGCATTTTGGCTTGCTAAGTCAACAAGAATGCTATCTAATGACCATAAAACAAAAGAGCTTAGTGCTTCAAGAGAACGTTTATTCAGCCAGTCAACTGATGTCTTGTAAACATCCTCGGAAATATGAGAAAGAGGGATCTGCAAAAAAGTAATGCAACGGTTAAATCACTGAAGGCACCATTTTCTAAAGAACTTCAAAGGAACGCAAGGATTAGAGGTTAGAGGTCAAGCAAGCAGCTAATTATGAAAATATTTAGCTTGAAATATCAAAAAGAAATCTTCGTGCACAAATAAGGGTAACACAAATGACAGTCTCGAGCACATTAAACATTTTCAATTGCTAACTTGCAAGAATAGACCTACCCAAAATCAATGGAACACAGAAGAGGTTCAAGGTTATTTTTCACCCCAAATTTCAGTCCTTCCAATCCAATTAAGGGTGAGTTTGGCATACCTTCTAACTTAATTACTTTTTAAAAAATATTTCTTTCTTAAAATACTTACAAAATACTCGGTGTGTTTGGTTACATTTTCTTAAAAGAAATTTTAATCACAAGTTCATTTCTAAAAGTCATTCTACAAATGACAAATTACCATAAAGTGATTTTTGAAAAAATGATTTTAAACCAATTTGATTATTGCAAAAAGTGATTTTTATTAGTTACCAAACACTTAAGAATTTTCAAAATCACCCAGAAGGTTAATCCAAACACACTCTAAATCCATAAACAATAACAGAAAAATCACAGACAATCAGAGCATGATAATTGAAAACGCCAAACATGCATCTACAAAACATACAACATTTTGCCTAAAGATCATTCTTCACCAGAACAAGGGACCTGAAGGATTAAGCACAGCCTACCAGAAAAAGGCATGCACAGATCTAAGAGAATTCAGAGGAAAACAATTCATTTTCTCCGCAAAAAGGCAAATTTCAGAGAAATATAACAAAGAAAAGATCGTCAAACTCACATCAACAATCTTCGCGACGGGAGATTCCCTAAACATTCTCACCCAAGGAAATTGAGAAGCAATCACGCCCGAGAATGCTCGTCCAAAATAATCTGCAAATCTCATCAGCTGTATATCCTGCTGAGTCTCGTACGAGTCCTATCACCAAACGCAAATAGCGATCAATCGACAGCCGATTCTTATCTAACAAACAAGCAGATCAAAACAGATCAGATAAAAACCAAGAATGCATCAATAAAACACAAAGCCCTACCGATACATCGTCCAAAAATGCCAACAGATCGTTGACGTCAATCTTCGCGGCCGCCTCGGCCACCGAAATCTTAGGCTTCTTCGGCTTCTTCTGCTTCACCTTCTTGGCCTCCTCGTTATGCTTCCCATTCTCCGCAACATCTCCATCACTATCCTCGCCATCCTCATCGTCGGACCTGATCTTGGATCTAACCGGCACAGCTTCATCGGCGTCATAAGCTGCCGCCGCCGCCGCCTTCTGCTCCTCAATTCTGCGGCGGCGCTCCTCGGATTTCTGCTCCAAGGAGCGGAAAACATTGTCCCCGCCGGAGACCGCACCATTAGCGACGATCTTGTTAACCCCTGCATCGGCCTGCGAGGGCAAGGGTTTGGATGTCTTCCTCTGGCGCTTGGCGTAGGTAACCTTCTGCCATCCGTGGTCGACATGGCCGTTGGTGGGGTGAGAAATGGCGGTGGTGTGGTGATCTTCAGTACCAGCAGTGGAATCGAGAGGTAGGTGGTGATTGTCCTCCATGGCCGGCGGTGGATTTAGAAGAAGATTAAGGGCTTGAAATTCGAGTGGGAATCCAAAAGAAAGAATTGAATTTCTGCGGAGAGGGAGAGGGAGATGGATTGAATCGACAAACGGGATTCAAAGTCGGGGAATTTGGGAGTGGGGGAAGAAAAACAATTATAAAGGGCGTTGACTTGCGGGAAATGCCCTTTGTGTATCGCCGAATTTACAGGATTGCCACGCCGATATTTCGGGTTCCGGCGAGTGAATACTTCACACGTTTACCACCTGGTGGGGCCCACCACTGGGATCCACACAATTTTCAATTTTTCTCTCTTTTTTTCTTTTTTATCTTTAACCGTATTCCTCTTCCTCCACCCAAATCCTCTGATTTTTTTTTTCTCTTTTTTTGCATCGTTTTTTTCAATTAAAAGATAATGTTCCTATATCTTTTTTAATCAGTAAAGGATTTAAATAATTATTTTTTTAAAGTTAAAAATCTTTTATTTGAAAATTCATTTGTCTTACCTCTTATACTTTTAACTTTTATTTATTTCAAGTTTGTTTGTAGTACAACAAGCAGGCTTTAGGTATTCCAAATTTATTTGGGTGGTTGTTGAACTTAAAAAGAAAGTGATTATTTTAATATTTTATTTTTATTTTTTATCTTGTTTATTTTAATCAAAATCTTTACATAGGACTTAAGTCGTTAAATTTTTTAAAATGTAGTCATAAATTTGTATTAAAGTGTTTTCATTATGTATAATTTTTTTTTTTAAACTTTGCACATAAGAACCAAAGTGACAACTTTTTAGAAATATAAGAACTATAACAGATGTTGTACATAGATTAAAATAAACACAAGTTGAAAAATACAGCAACCAAAATAGCATTTAAACTTTTTTTATTTTGATTTTGAAATTGAAAGACAATATTCCCTTTCTCCTGATTTGCAACAAATTAAGTTGAATAAATAATTAGAATAACGGTTTTAAGTTTATTTACTTCAACCATAGAAATAAAATTATCGACTTTTGAAATAGTAATATGTATCTTGTTCAACGTAGCAATTCAATGGTTTAATTTTTTTTTTCTAATTTAAAATGAATGAAGTTATTTTTTATAAATTGCCCATTCACATTTGGGAAAAAACAATTTACCAGTATAATAGTTATGATCTAGTAATAAAATATTAAAATATGATAAGGCTAATTAGTAATTTTCGTAAGTCAAAATCCTAAACAAGAAACAAACAACCATAAAAGATGAACTTTCAATGAAAGATATCCGCCGGACAATCTTCTAATTTGGTAGTTCTTATTTTCTAATTTGTTGGCTTCAATTTTTAAAAATAGATGGATTCATTGATTTAACTTTTTACTTTTTAAAATTAGTGGATTTTGCTATATTTCAATTTAAAAACTACTTTCAACTAATAATGATTTCCCTTTGTAAAATAATTTAAAATTTTAATAGTCTAGTAGATGCCAACAAATTCCAATAAGAATTGGTTTGATTAAAAAAAAATATATATATATATATATATTGTTTTGTATTTTCACTTTCAAGATTTTGAACTGAAAAAGTGTATTTTAATCTTTTAACTTTAATATTTGTTCTATTTTAGTCCTAAAAAAAACTGTCTCTATTATGGTCATTATTTCGAGTTTAAAAAATGTGTATTAGTGTCTTAACTTGAACAAGTATGAGAGTTGATGAACATGTATACAGAACAAAATAATGATAACAACGCATCAAAACAAATCTTTTGAAAGTTGAAATCAAATATACGACATGTAATAATAATAAGAACGGACTAAAACAACTAGGTTGAAAATTTAAAGATAAATGAACCTCTTAAAAATTATTTTTTAAAAGTTCGGGGACTAGAATTGAAAATATGAAAATTCAAATACCAAAACTGAATATCTTCCCAAAAGAAATAAAAAGGGATGGTTTTGAAATTTAGGAAAATATGTAATAAATTAATGAAAGGAAAAGCAGTCTTTTTCTTTTTAATTTAATGTGGAGCAGTTTCTTTATATGTATAGTTTCTTTATATGTATATCGGTTATTAATATGGATAATCCTGAAAGCGGTAATTGACATATATCTCCAACCAAAGGTTTAAGTTCAATTCCCCACCCCATGTTGTAAAAAAAATATATTATTATATTAATAAAGAAAAAAGAAAAAAAATAGTGAGTCGTGTAAAAAAAAAATTACCTCTAGTTAATGATTTTTTAGGTATTAAAATAGAAATTTTGAAAGTTAAAAGACCAAAATGATTATTTTAAAAGTGTAAGGAGAAGTAGAACACATCCGACTAAAATGAAATTTAAATCCAAAAGTATTTCTCACTTTCTATTTTTCAATGTAGTCACAAACAAATTTTATAAATATTTGAATAGGTTACCTCTTAAAAAATATTCAATAAAATTGAAGAATCAAATTGAAAAAAAAAAAAAATTTAATCACTCCATTGAGATTATCAATAAAAAAAAATTGAGCACAATCATTATTAAGAAAATCTTTCCCACTATTTTAACCTTATTGTTTGGATTTTGCAAGTCTTCTCAAACTTTAGACTTGAGTGGCAATCCCAATTCAGATTTTTTTTAATTAATATTTTATATTTTAATAAGATTTTTAAAAATTTTGGAGAAGGTAATTAAAAAAATAATGATAATTTGGACCATGATTGAAAAAATGACCATTTTTTTTAATTTTATATTTTTTTAATTTCTCTCTCATGGTCAAAATAGGGTGGTCAACACAATATTGGTCTTCACCAATGTAGCACAATATTGGTCCTCACCAATCTACTATTTTCCATTGTGAAATGCACAAAAACTACCACAAATTTACAAAATAGTTTTAAAATTTACCTTTCAATTACAAATAGTTTGAAAACTATTATATTCTTACCATTAAAAAGAAATAGTTCTTAACAATACTCATCTAAATTCACATATTTCCTTTTTATCTCTTTTTAAATTTGGTTAAATTATCAATTTAGTCAAAGTTTCAATTTAGTCTTTGGCCTTAGTTTCAATTAGGTTATTAGTTTTAAAAGTTAATCAATCTATTCTTATCGCTGGCTCTTACTTTTATTTGGGTCTTTATGATTTCAAAATTTTTAATTTAGTCTCTATAGTTTAGTCCAACCTCACAAATCGCTCATGTCATCACCAAATATTGACACATTTTGTTACGTGACAATGAGTTAGCGTTTTCTATTAAGCTAACCTTATTAGTTAGAAGAAAATAGATGGGTTTTTCGAATGAGTAAAAAAATAATCCATTTTGAAACACCCAAATCATAGTGAACATATATTTGTAATTTTAGTTGGAAGATTTTAAAACTTTTCTAGATACTTTTAAAAGACATGTCAAACACACTCTAACACGGACACCAAGAGGAGTGGGTGGATTTTCCAATGTCCTAAAAGATTAAAAAAAAAAAGGTGTATTACGTGTGTAGATCAATTGCTTATTTGGAAGGCCAAGTGGTAGTGGACATTGTGGAGAAGTTCGGCGGTAGAAATTCTTCAACCAAAAGCAAATCCAAAATCATTTCAATTTTTGAGGCAACTCAAATCCAAATCTACAAGAAAATTTTGTTTGTTCTAATTCACATGACTTTTGATTTTTGGGGTTTCTGTTCTTTCCCTTGGCTTTGAAATATGTGAGAAAGTGAAACAAATTTGATTTTGGAGTTTTCTAATTTATTCGGGTATTAAATTTTCGTCGATAATTCTATAACTTCATAGGTTCGACATCTACGTGAGAGATGAATTGATTTATTAAAAAAATAGTTAAAAAAATATCACTATTATGGACCATAATATTAATATTAATAAATTTTAACTTATCTAAAAATGAATCTTTTTATTTTTATAATTTTTATAGAAATATCATTCACATCAAAAAAAAAATTTTAATATTTCAAGAAAATTAAGGTTTCAAGGTTTCCATCAACATTGACATTTAAAATTTGATATATTTCTTCATGCTTTTATGGCCTAAAATTATTTAATTAGTACATGTCTCCGACCTAGAGGTCACCTACACTTGTTGTACTGAAAAACTTTTTAAATCTTTTTTATTAAACATTGAAAGCTGATAGATCAAACTTAGACTAAAATGAGATTTAAACTGATTTTATAATACTAAAAAAGAGATAAAAATACTAAATAGTACAAAATATTTTAGTCAATTCTCAATTATACATTTTAATGATTTAAAACTCTTTCAACTTTATCTTTATTACCTTGAGACGTGAGAAAATTGTGAAAACCACCCATAAAATCCTGGGTTGTTACATTTCAATTTGACCTATCACTTCATAAACTTACAAAATTGTTACGATTAATTTTTTTTTTTAATAACTGGGAACTTATACCTAGACAATCGCTATGACCAAGAGACTCAAAACCATGACAGCTACCTGAGGGCGACAAGGTTAATACAATTAAACTCTTGAACCATAAAATTGTTACAATTTTATCCAATTTTTTAATTCTATAAAATTTGAAATTATAATATTGACCATAAAAAAATTTATTTGTAGACCAATGATTAGCCAACATTTTGATTGAAGAAAATGAAAATTTGATGTAAAAGACTTGAATTTGGTTGTAACGCTATATAATTCAAGAGTTTGATTATAATAACACATAATTTAGAGATATTTATCAAGTAAAAAAATTAGATAGTGTGACTATAACAACTCTTTATATAGGAGTGATTTTTATAATTTTTCCTTAAAATTTTCAATCTCTGTCACTAATGTATTTATTTTTCTAAATTAGGTACTTCTGCCAAAAATGCCAAGTGATTTGACATAGAAAAAGAAAAATGAGCAAATGAGTGCAAAATAATGATGCAAAATTTTAGTAAGAAAAATGAGCATATTTATATTTAGTTTTATTATGATCTAGATGGCTTACATTTTCATAATTTTATTCTTGCTATAGACTAACCATCATAAAATTAAAATTATGAAAATATTAGATTTCAATACTATTTTAGTCTAGTTTTGTTCATTTTGATTATTTTATATTGATCCATTATTTTTCAATCAAAATTTCATTGCGACACTAACTCAATAAATTTCTTGAAATGTAATCATAGTTTTGTGTTAAAATAGTTTCATTAGGTATAGAATTTTAGAAATAGAAACTAAAGTAATCACTTTTTTAAAGTAAAAAATAGAACATACATTTTGAAAATACATTGATTTAAATAAACAAAAGTTGAAAGTAAATAAACCAACCTAGACATTTTAACAATGCAGAAACCAAAATAGTATTTACACCAAAATATTTGGCCTTCGATATGTTTGAACATATTAGAAATTAGGCCATATTTGATCATAATTTTAAATAATAAAAGTTGTACTTATTTAACAATAATTTTTTTTTTGCTTAGTTTAAAAATAAATTTGGCTAACACCACAAGTATTTAAAAAGAAACAAAGAAATAGTCAGGAAGAAAATATAATCACAAAAAATAAACTAAAAATAAAATCTTTATATAACAGAATCTTAAATAATATATTCTGAGTGCCTATACCTACTTGTGGAAGAAAGCTTTTGGATATGTTATTGTGCACTTCCCAGCTCACAAAAGATTGTGCTCATAGGAACAAAAAGGTTTACACTAAACAGAATAAAACATAATGGTAATGCAACTACTTCAAATTCAAATCCTTGACAAGAGAAACATACTGTTTACAATAGTCGTTTTTCGAGAGCTTTCGGTCTTCGGTTTCCAATGTGTAGCAAACTGCTTGATCTTGTATCTTCTCGGATGTGGTCTGGAGTAGTTACCCCTATATTCAATCATTGTAAGAGTCTTTACATAAACACGAGACAGATTCATGTTTTTTATTTTATCATAATATATGCATCTCCTATTAGATCAAATCATAAAAACCGAAAAATTATCGAAAGAGAATGACAAAGAGCCAGAAGAGACAAATAATAACGTACTACACGATCATCCAACCATCTCTCCACATCTTTAAAGATTCTCCTATTTCATTCAGGATAACACAAAAACCACTGATGCAAAGTATCTTAGGTTTTTCCATTTGAACCTATAATTTCTGCAAAGATTCTGCATTACAGGAAGTCTGGAATTCCACGTTTTTTCTTGACAAGATGTAACATTCTAGGTAGGACTGTTATTGGGATTGGGTTTCCCCTAGTGAATTATTCTCTATTTATTATTTTTTAAGAAATTCTAAATCAAAAGTTAATTCTTCGGGGTAAATCTTCATTTGAATGATTAATTTCTGTGAGGATTTTCCATTTGAAAAGGAAAATTGTTAAATTTCCTAGATACGTCTCATAATTCAGAAGATAAATTATAAAAAAGAAACGGGCGAGGACAGAGAACTGTGAAGGATGTGAAGAAAATATAGGACAAGACCTTCATTAGAGACCTTTATATATATATATATATATATATTAAAAAGTCTCTAGTGAGGCTTTTCTCCTAACTCTACCTAAGCAGGGCAGGAATATGGAATGCATCCCCCCCCAGATGCCAGGGACAAATTGTCCCCCACCCCTACCCCACGGGGAGCCTAAACGGGGGAGACCCCATTTAAGGCGGGTCCCCACTGGGAAAAGTAACCTCCCTAATTTTAGGCCAAGGTATATCGGCTTGGAGGCGTCTTTTCTGGATCAAACAATTTGTGTTCACCCCGCTCCACCCAACTCCAACCCATGACTAAATATCTTCCCTCAATAAAAGCCACTTGTGTTCCACAAAAGGTAACTGAAAGTACCTTCTTTAACGTCTACTAGCCAAAATTTCCTGAACAAAAAATGAGGCTAATTGACTCGAGTTCAAACACCCTTGCCATTAGATTTGTAGGAATTAAAGCGACAAAAGTCACATTATTGCTAGAGTTTATAATACCTTTAGGCATAAAGTTGTGGAACAAAACCAACAAATCCACCTACAGGAAGTTCCATCCTCCAAAAGAATTTCCAAAAGAGAACCCTTTTTATTTCAAGCCAAGTTGTTGTGCAAAAGAAGTTAGAGTTTTCATCACCCTCCTCATGCCACTTTAATTGACACGTTGATCTCCATAACATATCCACTTCAAGGATAATCTCCTGAAATTTGTTTTCGTTGATGTTCTCGAGCTCCTTCTATTTTGAGATAAGCATCTTTCCTCATCTAATGCATCCAGAGTAGCAAGACAATATACATTTCCAAAAAAATTCTAATTTTTCCTCTTAATTCTTTCAGCTTCAAGATAAAAGAATGGCCCAAATAACCTACATCTAATAAAAAGTTCCACCGAGTTTTTCATACATGAAGGAATTCATGATGGACCTACCAAATGTAATCAAAATGAAAGGAAAAAGGGAGTTGGCCCCCGGTGCAAATTGCCAGCTTCAAGGAGAATTGGACAAATGGTCAGATGTGAGCCTATTGAACCCTCTTGTACGAAGTCTTGAAATTTTCACAACAAGAATAGGAAAAAGAATCTAACCAAACAAGGAAGACAATCTTTCTCTCATGTTTGACCATGTGAAGGGTCCATTTTGTAGAGGGTCAAAGAGAGCGAGATATCTTGAACAAGTGTATTAAGTTCTTCGTGCTGGAAGTAAATCTGTTACTACTAGAGATTATTATCTCGATCATCTTATCACATTAAAATTACTCCCAATGGCCCAATTACTTTCTTATCCAATTTTGGATAAGATCATAAGAGACAAATATATTAAACAGGCACAACAACCTAAGGGCAGAGTAGAGAAAACCCCCTCATGCATTATCGCTTCGAATCTCGAAGGATCGATAATAAGCTATAATTACAAAAGAATTTCTTGTGATCGAGCCACCAAGTCGTAAACTGTACACCATTAGTAAAAGAACCTACGTCAGAAGAAAATCAAGACTATTGTTCCTTTCTCTCCAGAGAATCCACAAAAAAGCCCTCACAGTATATCCCCAAAGGATTCTAGCTTTTCCTTTAAGTGGCCATCCGTTCAGAACTTTGTTAAGCCAACCATCTATAGACTTTGGCTTACAACAATGAAAATCAAAGATGTCATACAGAAAAATCCAGAATTTTGTAGTAAACTTACCGTGCAAAAAATTGTAGTTGAGGCTTTCTTCATCCTTATAGCACAGACAGCAAATCGAAGGAGATAAGGACCAAGACCAACCACTGAACTAATTTTTTTTTTTTGCAAATTTTCATGTGTGTTGAGACTTCTACACGCAAGACCTATAAGAAAACTTTTGTCTTCTTTGGAACATTAAATTTCCAAATCACCTTGATCAAGGGGGAAGCCATCTTATTAAAACATAAATACCGGTAATTCAATAAGACCAGAATGCCTCAGAAAGATCCCAATTCATCCAAAGAAGCCATTTCAATGTTCTTGGAACTCCGTAAAGATCTAACCAGCCTTCTATTAACTTTCTTGTTTCTTGAATAATCATAATATTAGGATTAGACTTCAAAATAGAGTGTTTGACCAAACCATGTTTAGTTGTATCCCTCAACCATCATCTCGTATTCCAGTTCCAAATCTTTCATTTAACGTTGTTACCCATAGAAAGCACACGAGAACACTTGTGTCACAATTAAGGGAAGAGATAAGGTTTCACACTACATTCGTTCTTTCTTTGCACTTTTGCAGCTTCTAGTTGGTCTAGGATTTTCAGAACTTTCAATCTTTGCTGGGTGTTCCCTACGAGCTGCTGCTTGGAGACCTTCACCCAGCTTATTTCAGAACTCTCTTTGGAAAAAGCTAGGTGTCTGTGTGGTGCTTTTGTGGAAACTTTGTCATGAAAGGAACAAGAGGCTGTTTCAGGGGAGTGATTCTTGTTCTTGTTGTGGTTATCCAAAAAAAATGCACAAGCTGGACACTCTCCCCTTCGGTTTGCAGCCTCTGCCTTAGCAGTGATGAGACCATTGACCACCTTTTCATTCACTGTCCTTTTGCAACAAGATGTTGCTCTTTTATTCTGGAATCTTTTGGCATTTCTCTTTGCTTTCCTCAGCAGATTGATGGATGGCTCCATGAATTACTCACGGGTTGGTTTCTGCCCAAAAAAGCCAGGGTAATTTGGAATTATGCTACAAGGACTCTTCTATGGCACTTATGGGGAGAACGAAATCGTCGTATTTTTGAAGATAAAAGCTCCACTTTTGATTATTTTTGTAGATGTGTACAGCACACTACTTTTTGGTGGTGTCTTAGCTATAGTCAATTTTTTTGTAATTACAATCTTTCCATGTTCTTACACAATTGGAAAGCTTTTGTATATCTTCTTTGGGTGGGGTTTCCTCTACCCCAGCCCTTAGGTTGTTCCTCTTTTGAGTTGCTCTAATACAAGGTTTCTTATCTAACAAAAACTTGTTGCGATGATTTTTGGGATAAAGTCAGATTGTTTTCTTCTATTTGGTGCTCCCCTCATATTGACTTTTCTAGTTATAATTATAGCTTAACACAAATTATTGCCAATTGGGTATCTTTTTTCTGATCCCCTTGGCGGGTTGGGATACCTTGGTCTCCCTTTTTGTATATCTTCTTCACTTTTAATGAATTTTTGTTTTCTTTCCTATCAAACAAGAAAAAAAATAAAAGAAAAGAAAAAGAAGATAGGGTTTCACAAATCACACCAATAGAGCGCTTACTTTCCGTTCGTGATTTAACAAGAATTGGAGCCAAGCAAAAATTACATTGATGTAGGTATTCAACAAAATCATTAATCCAGGTCCAAATGAAACCCCCTTAGGCACCATATACCTCCTCATTACTTGCAACAATTTCCTGTAATCCATTCAAGACCAAAACCTCTTGTCCTGTATGTATTCAAGTTTCCATTTGACACATCGGGTTGATTTAAAACTCAATCCATCATAATATTTGAATTATAATCTTCTTCAAGAAAGCTGAACCAAACCTCCAACTTCATCCGTGCTTAAAGAAGCCTTATCAGGAAATGATTATCTTCTATAGGACCCGAGTCTTAAATATACAGTTGGGCCGGCTGGTTAAAGCAACTTCCCTCAAAGGTTTATGATAATAACCGATAATCAATATTTGACTATTCTACTAGACCCAAAATTGGACTTTTTTCAAGAAAGGAGTTGATGAGCAACACTTTCTTGAAAAAGACCTTTATGCCATTTATATCACACTGTTATCTATAAAAGAGAGGAAGAAAATGGGTCACTATTGGTATGTTGAGTAGATGTCCCATGATTTGGAAAATATCTTCATCAGTACCTCTTAGCCTCATTTGATAAAAAATGTTTGTACCCTCCAAATTTTTAGAATTCAAGGTGCTACAGGTGCTTGCATCCCTTCCTTCACGAAAACATGGTAAAAAGTTGAGGAGTCTGCTAACTTACTCGACTTCATAGAATCAATAATTTCCTTTTTCTTATTTTTTCAAGAAACTTTTGGTGACCAAGAAACTTTCTTCTATGCCTTTGAAAGGTCTCCTGAGCATATTGAACTCATTAAACAATAAGGTTGTATCTGTTAAGAAAGATCCATCGCCTAATACTAGCCATGTAGTCTCTAGATTAAAGGACACTGTGACTGGGACCAGCACCCTCGTAAAGCCTATTTCCACTAAAAGAAAGTCACTACAGCTTCCCTTAACTTTGACTTCCACCACAAGATCAAGCCTTCTCACAATTTTGATTGCCACACCCTTAAAACCTCCACAAGAATTCCCCATTGGTATTAAATATTTTAGTATCCTAAAACTAAAAGTGTAAGAGAATGTATCGAACCTTAATCCAACCACCATAGTTAGGAACAAAATAGGACTTTCTGTGAGACAAAGTATCCCCCATCTCTCAAACTTCAAATAAAAATATTGAACACCAACCCAAAAAAGGTTTAAAGACAGAGGCAGACCAATCTGGCTAATTTAAATCCTGAACTCTAAGCAATGCATATTCTAGATAAAAGGGGGTCAAAGAACAAAAATGATCAACTCCTCTTGGAGGACAGAATGAAACATAAAATCAATCATTATGAAAGAACCTCCTGTGGACTATTATCATTACGTTCCAATTTATTTGTTCCTCATCACCCTCTCCTAGCTCCATTAAGCCATCTTTATCTTTTACGTTTGTTTTCAAAGGCCTCCCATTAACAAAATAACCTTTGCTTTAGGGAAATACGAACCCTTTGCTCTCTTTTTCTCTAGCAAATTTTCTTATCTATTGTTTTCACTTCTCGAAACTCAAGGTACTTCATAGTTCACTACGAACATTAAGTCATTAACATTTAACAAAAATAAGATAAAATAAACATCTAATGCCAAATAAGGGAATCCAAATACCATGGGAAGGGCATCTTGAATTCCCATAAAACAATAGGGGGTAAAACCTTATGTGTCAATGTAGCACATAAAACCATTTTCACATAGAGAATTGCCCATTGTAGGAATTGAACTCGGGAAGAGCATGATTGCGCCACCAATTCAAGGAGACAGAAAAGCACGAACACACTGGTTTAAAAAATATCAAGATACATCCTTTTAATTTTTGTTACTCTTATTCTTGTCAGCATGATGTGCACAATGATATCATAGCAAAAGCATGAACTACTCAGTGCACCTATCAAGCCATCAAGGAAGATAGAAAAGCGTTAAGTTTCAAATATTGTTCACAAAACAATAAAGACGTTACTCTTTCAAAGTTTATTATAAATGAAAATCAACTCCAAGTCCCCAACATGCTCTAAATGGAAGCAAAACAATGTTTAAAGTCTAAACCACAAGATCATACAAATAATCATGGAATTCAAGTGATTATGATTGCCCATGAGGCATGACTAGAAAAAATCAATGAGTATTACAAGTTTTGCTTACTGTAAAGCAAAGAGCAGATTATATCTCAAACAAACCTTAAGTGGTTGAAGGAGCTGCTGCTTTGCTTTTGTCTGAAGAAGTCTGGCTATCTTGTGATGGTGGTACGTAAATTCGTGCTTTCCTCAAAATTTCAGCAACCATCCAATGTTTATGCTTGCTTAATGGCCTAGACGGGTCTAATTTAACCTGAATAAAAGAAAATTCAATTTCCATCTGTGAATTAGAAACGATAGACGTAAATACATTAAAGAAACATGCGATTTTTCGAAATACAAATAATATTTGCCATTTCCTAAGCGATCACTTCGTCCAATATTACATTTTTCTCGAACAAATTTCCATTGAAACTCGAGTCCCCAGATTTCTGGTAAACAGTAATACTTGAAAAGAAAAAAATTACACAGCCAGAGTGATTAAATCGAGAGCAAAAAAACTGAGTGGGGGTAAAGATGGATTTCTCACTCGATCACCAATATTGCACTGGTTGTTCTCATCATGAGCCATGAACTTGGAAGTGCGCTTGACGTAGCGATTGTAGAGTTTGTGATAGAACAACCTATCCACCGCAACTACCACCGATTTCTGCATTTTGTTCGAGACCACCATTCCCACTACCTGCTTCATCTCACCCCCTCCTTCGATCCAAAAACCCCCAATACAAAAACCCTTTAAGCTGCTACAAACTTTGCCAAAACCCGAGGTTTTGACAAGGGCTGTACAGGATTGGGTCGGTTCAGAGACATTTTGTGGACCAAATTCAAACCGAATGCAACAGCCAATTGAACCAATTGGGTTGCTAAAATTATGAAGAAAAAAATTCGCTAAAGAGTGAAATGGAACTTACAGTGATTCTGATTAAAGAGATAGAAAGCGAGCGTAGAGTGGAGAATCGGAGGAGAATGGAGATGGTGACTGTGAGAGGGGCGGGCGGCTGAAGAACAATATGAAATTCAAAGCCTCACCGTGACTGTGAGCCGTGAGGGCTGGGGATGTAATTCTAAATTAGTTTAATTACATATTCAGTAGAAATGTTGTTGTCATTATTATTAATATTATTATTATTATTTTGATAAAAATAAGAAATGTTATTATTAAGAAGTGTTTAATAAATTTTTTAACTTTTAATTTTGTGTTTAATAAGTCTACTCGAGTTTGTTATTTAAGTCTTTTTTTATTGTCTAAAAAGAAGACTCGATCTCTAATTCTTTCTCTTTCGAATCCAACCAAAATTTTTTCTTCTCATTAGCGAAGTTTGAAAGTGATAGAATTTTTTCTTCGCCTAAGAAAGCCGATTCCGTAGAAGAGTTCGCTAGTAGGTTAGATTCCGAACTGGAGGAGGAAGAGATAGAAAACTTTAGGTTTTCTGATGATGACGGGGATGATAGTTACACGTCCACCTCAGGTCAAGGTTTAGAATATCCTTCCCAGATGCCTGGGAACTACCTTGGCCCTCTTCGTAGGAGATATAGCATACCGGATGACATAACCCTTAGGCTTCCTAGGGAAGGAGAGAGAGCTGATAATCCTCCAGATGGGTGCGTAACCCTTTACTTGAAAATGTTCGAGTATGGGTTCCGTCTTCCCGTCCACCCTTTAGTGTAGGAGTTTTTGTTCCGAACCGGACTAGCTCCTACGCAAGTGGCCCCCAACGGATGGGGAGTTGTCTTTGGTCTCGCCGTGTTATTCTGGCTTAGATGCAGAGAAGTGGACGACCTGGACCTCCTCGGAGTTGATCAACTTTTGGCTTGCTTCGAAGTTAAGCGAATTTTTAGAAAGCCAGGAAGATACTATATGTGCGCTAGGAAGGGCGTAGGAGGCATTTTGAAAGGACCAAACTCCATAAAGAAGTGGGTTGGGAAGTGGTTATTCGCCTCCGGATCGTGGCTGGCTAAGAACGAGTTCAACTTGCCCTTCCACAGCGTCCCCTGTAGGTTCGGGAACTTAGGTAAAGGGTTGAGTCTTTCCTCGTTTTTAGTTTCTTTTCTTCATGGTCTAACCTATATCCTTGTCACTTTCAGTTGCTATTCGGCGGATTCCTCTACTCTCTAAGCCGACCTTCAACGCCTTGAAATTTTTCAAAGGTAAATTCAAGAGTGGAAAGCAGATCAGCACCCTTATAACAGATAAAATTCTCCTTGCCTCGAGACTCCTAGACTACAACCCTCGCTTATCTCCGCCTGAAGCTCAGAGGCCGAACTCCGAACTAGATGAGTCGCCTTTGCTTGATGTCCTTATCAGACACTTTTTGCACCCTTCGGTTCTAACTCGTGATTGTTTCCCTTTGCAACGATGGTTTGTGGCTTTTCTCAAAGCGTGAAGCACAAACGCTCGAGCGTTAAAAAATCTGCTAAAAACATTGAGGCGCCCAACCCTATGGTAGCCGACCTTCCTGCCGAGGTTGAGGTGGTCGAGGATGGCCTTGCTGCTGCTTCATCTTTAGGGAGCAGTTGCGGCTGGGACCTCGCAGGATCAGGAGATCCTTGAGGTCTCTCCCTTTAGGGAGATTAGGAAGAGGGCTTCTCCCAAGAAGTCCAAGAAGAAGAAGAGAATGACCCACCACTCTGGGGATGAAGTGAGGGAGATGGGTGCTGGCCGGCGGGTCAGTCCCTTTGAGGACCTGGTGGATGATCTTCAGGCCAGGATGGGTGGCACCTCCGACCTCAAGATGAGGTTCAAGATCGAACCATCCAGTGTTGGGGTGAGGGAGAGAGCCATGGAGATTTCAGGCTCTTGCTTCGACTGCTGCTGGAGGAGAGCTTCTAAGTTTGTAAGCTGTCCGGGATCAGCCATCCAACGATTGTTGGATTACACTACCGAGGT